GTCCGCGTGCCCTGGACCGTCCACTCACACACTGCTCGCCCACCTCTGCGGCCGAGAACGCCAGGCCAGGTCTGGGCAGGGCACACGGTGGGGACACAAGACCAGGGAAGTGACTGTGTGTCAGTTATTCCGGTGAAAGATGCAAATCAGCATCAGAACAAGTCTCTGTCTTAAAGACAGCGTGATCGAGGAAAGATTGGTTGGTATAAAACTGCCCGTGTGTGGCCACGTGATGGTGAGCTGGACATCGCCCACACTGCGCCTGGTCAGCGCGGCCGAGCACCCGGCAGGCCTGTCACCCTGGTTCGGGCTCTGCCTTGGGGTAGAAAGGTCCCTGGAGACCCGCCCATCGAGGGCCCTCGTGCCATGTGCTGGCCCAGGCCCTGCTGGGACCCCCTCCTGTCCCCCGGGGACCGGCCCCCGCGCCCCTGGCTGGGATCCGCGGAGTTCATGCTGTGACTGGCATGTGTGACTCAGCGCAGCATCCCTGGGTCATTCGTGTGGTCAGGGGCACAGAATCCCTCCTTTTTCAAGCCTGAGTGGTATTCCCTGGGAGGTTCATCCTGTGTGGGCACGGATGCAGATATCTACTCAGCACGGGACCTCAACCCTTTGGGGTCCGTCCCCAGACCAGGAGACAGGGGCCAGTGTGTGGGTCCCCAAGACCCGCCTCTGCACTGGCCCCACTGTTCATCCCACTAGCCGCACAGCAGGCGGGAGCGTCCCTCTTGCTCCTGACTCCGCTGGGGAGTGTCTCTGAAAGGGGGTCAAAAATGCCTCCCAGTCCATCAAAACCACCAGGGGAGGGTCCCTGGGCTTTCCCCAAGCCCCACCAGGCTTCCTCCCACAGGCCCAGAAAGGCTGGCCTCTGCCCGCCCCCGCGGGGCACTCATCCCTTCCCGGTCAGACCCCAGACCCAGGCCTGAGCAGTCAGCCGGGCCCCTGAGGCAGCTGGTGCTCCCCCCCCCCCCCAGAAGGAGCAGGGCTGGCTGACCAGCCGACCCCTTCCGCGCCTGCCTGCAGCTGCCTCGGGAGCAGGACACGGGCTGCGCCCAGCTACTGTCCTTGGAGCCCAGCCAGGGCCCTGATTTAAAAGGTATCGCAACTTTTTAAAAAACAAACGCGTGTTGTAACCCAAGGCCCTGGTAACCACAACACTGCTGCAGCGCCTCCGGCAGGCGGCCCAGGCAGCCAGGGGCGGGGAGGAAGCTGCACCCGGGCTCAGGCCGTAGTTCCCTGATTAGAGCAGCGCGGCAGGGAGGGCAGCGCCCGGCCCTCGCCAGACCCGCTCCCTCCAGCAGTGGCCCTGCAGGATGGCACCTGGGCCCACGGAGCCCAGGGGCCAGCCCGGCCTGAGGCCCCGCAGTGCTCCGCCGCCCGGCCCTGCCTCTCCCAAGTGCTAGGGCGCAGATGCCCCCCTCCTCCTGCCCTTCCGGCTCCAGCTCCAGCTCTCTCAGGCCCTACCTGCTGGTTTACAGCATCTACCTGCTGCAAACCACGCCCACAAGCAGGTCAGGCCTGTGGCCGAGGCCCTAGGGCACGTCCCTCCTCCAGCCCTGGGCCTGGCCCCACCACAGAGACCAGCTGCTCCTTGGCCTGTGGGTTTCCCAGAACCTGTTGCACCGTCTGCACACACCAGGGGCCCGCACCCCTACACCTGTGGGCGTCCCACCCAGCCTTCGTGGAGAGGTGTGTATGCATGTGTGTGCATGTGTGTGTGCACGTGTGTGTGTGTGCGTGAGTGTGTGTGAGAGAGATTGTGCTTTAAAAACCAATTTCCAGCTTCTCCTGCACAGAGGCTGTCAGCCTGGCCGGCCCAGCTGACCCTCCGTGGGCCCAGCCGCCAGCCCCTGCTCCTGCCAGGGAGAGCCCAGGCCCAGCTGTCAGGGCCAGCCTGGGCCCCTGAGCCTGGACTCTGCTCTGAGCCCATTAAAGAGACTGTGGACGCGAGGAGGGCGGCTGGGCCAGCTGGAGGACGCTCAGCCGAGGCCAGCATTCTGAGGGCAGCCCAGGAATTTGTGTTTCTAGCAATTTCCCATGAGACTGCGCTACCGGTGCCCTCCCGGGACCCCGCGAGGCGCTCGTGCAGAGAATCGCCCCTCGCCCGCTCCCTGCGCCTGCAGCCCCTGGGCCCGGCTTCCCTGGCCCGGCCCTGGGCTGCCCCGCGTAGCCCAGGAGCTCCAGACTGGGCCTCGCCGGACAGAAGGGGCACTGCCCGGGAGTGCAGCAGGAGCCCTCGAGAGGGTGGTGGCGGCTTCTGGAGACAGCCCCTCGCCCCAGAGGCACCTGGCTCAGGGCTAATTGGGCCTCCAAGGCTCTGAGCAGGGACTCCCCACTCCCTGCCTCCAGGGTGATTAAGGCAGCAACCGTGGCCCCGGGAGAGGCTGCACAGCGGAGGCTGCTGGGTGTCCTCAGAGGGCCCCCGGGACCGTTCAGGAGAGGATCTACACCCAGTCCCCAGCGCCTCCAGGAGAAGCCCAGGGCCCCCGCGCATGGCCGCTCCTCCCCTCACTCAGGCGCAGAGGGCACTGGTCTGGGGAGCCACTGCCCCAGCAGGAGACCTGAGCAAAGCAGGTCGGGAGCGAGATGGACACGGGGTGATGCCGGAGCTGAGCGTCCCTGCCCTGGAGCTCAAACCCCACTCCTGCCCTAGAGTTTGCCCCCCCATCCCGGAATGCACCTCCCGCCCGCCAGCAATGGGGGCCTGCGCCCTGGGGTGGGCTCGCGGGGTGTTCAGGACATTCCCCTATTCTCTTCAGTCCGCCCCAAAGAGGGCCCTCAGCTCCTGTCCCTTTACACACAGCCGAGGCTCCTCCCCCGGCCTCCACTGACTCTCAGGCTGCTCCTCCCTCCTCAGTCACTGCTCCCCCAGGTCCGGGAGAACAGTGACCCCGTCACCAGCAGCATTTCCACAGACCGCTTGGGGGTCCTGAGCCTCCTGTCAGCTGCGTCCGAGGCCGTCCCGAGCAGGACCCCAGGTCCCTTTGGGGTAACCCTTGTCTTCGCGCTTCCCCCGGGAAGGCCTCCGTGCTGTCCCACCCCGTCTCCTCTCCTTCAGTGCTAACGCCTCGTGTGTGGGGAACGCAGCCTGCACGCGCTGTGTCGCCGTGTGGCCCTTCACGCCTCTCCCATGCATAGTGCAAGGTCGACAGGTCACCACTGACCCAGGGACGAGGCCTGGCCGCTCGCTCTGTCCCTCTGCTGGGCCCTGCCTGAAGGTGCCAACCAGCCCGCGTGCTGAGGGCTGCAGTGGGCACCCCGGAACGAGCGGGACGGACGGTCAGTCACCCACTGTCCAAGCGTAGTCCCCAGAGCACACGACCTGCTGATGGCCTGGAGCGGTCAGGCCCGCTGCTGCTGGTGTTGCCGGCTCCCTCCCCGGTGCCGCTGCCCTCCCCGCCCCAGGGCAGGGCCTGGCATTGCCCGTGGCCCCACACCCTCATCCACAGGGTCCCCACCCTGGAACACGGGGTGGTGTAGAGGCCGCTGACCCACGCCGGGCACGTGCTCAGTCCCTGCTGCCTGCCCTGTGCGGGGCTCGCCCGGCAGACCTGGCTGCATGGCTGATGGGGCGGCTGAAAGCGAGGAAATAAGACGGAAGGCCTCGCCCCCGCAGGTGGCTGCATGATGCTAGTTTTCACAGCTACAGGGTCATTTACTGGACCGGCAGCTTTTCCTGGGTGTTTTTTTTTTTTTTAAAGATTTATTTATTTATACGAGAACCGGGGTACAGGCCAGATACGCGGGAGGATGAGCGGAACCGCCAGAGACAGAGCGGGGAACAGAACAGGCAGACTGACGAAATCCACTGCTGCGGGGAGCAGCGGACAAGGCAGGAGAGGTCTGCTGGGCCATGTGGGACCCTCGCTGGCCGGCCGGGATTGAATCCGCACTGCAGAGGCTGCGGACAGCTTCACAGTGCGGCGCTCAACCACCTGCGCCACCAGGGAGGCCCTTTCCTGGGGTTTTTTGCAGGTTTGGGTTTTGTCTTCTTTGAGTCCCGCCTTCCTACCTGGTTGGTGGTCAGCGCGTTGCCCTCCTGCATGGCCCTCACGCTGGGAAGCCGGGAGTTCCAGACTTCAGGGCCCGTCAGGCTGGGCGGGCCTGAGACCCTGCATTCCTAACCAGTGGTTTCACACTCTGGGGTCCACCGTCGTCTGTTATTCTTCCTTCCACTGGGTCTTAGAATTGCATCTTAGAATTGCTGCAGCTCCTACTCCCTGGAGGGAGGCGGCTTTCAGAGCCCCTGAGGCCAGGCCCCACCCCCTCAACAGCTGTCAAGTGCCGGGGCCTGGACCAGTTTTCAAGCACAAGCAGGTAGCTCTCAGCACTTCTCAGCATGGGGGTCCTTCTCCTGCACCCCCAGACACCGCTGGGGCAGCAGGGGGACTTGGGTGAAAGCTCCCCCTGGGCCCTGACTTGTCCTGCCTGCTCCTTTCCTCTCTGTCCACTGCAGGCTGGTGTGCAGATGGCATCTACCTGGACGGAAGGGCGGACAGACAGCCACTTGGACAGGCGAGTGGGGGACAGCGAGTTGTGGGGAGCCGGGCGCCGCTGGGGGCCCATTACAACCTGCTGAGCAATGACGCTTGTAGGGGGGAGGCTCAGGCCCAGCTCGGCTGCTTCTGGGGCTGGTGCCTGCCAATGGGGCCAAGGCGGACCACTGGCCCCCGAGTCCTTGTCCTCCCGTCACTGCGTGAAGTGAGGGACGGCACCTTCCCGGCAGGGCAGGGCACAGAAGCACTCAGCGGAAGAGAAGAGCCCCCAGCCTGCAGGCGCCCCCCACCGTATTGTTTTGACTTCCAGCGCCCAGATCCTGTCGCTGGGGGCCCTCCCCACCCGCGGCGGGCTCAGTGGCCACGGCCTCCTCCCGGGTCACTGGCAGCGGGGGCACCGCCGCAGGCTGGGCCCTGCTCTTCGGGTAATTACGGTGCAGCCGCCGCTCCGCTCAAGTCCGCGCTTCCAGGTTCAGTTTCGGGGTCTCGCCGGGTGCCCCGGCCGGCCAGCGGCCGAGCCCAGCACAGGGGCAGGTCCCGCGCGGGAGGATGGGCTGTGGGCGCAGCCGGCCGAGCTGCTGCAAACCCCCCAAAAAGGTAGGGGCGCCAACGGGGAAGTTTGCTTTGGGGGAAGGAGGGTGCAGCGCACCGGGCGGGCGCGGGATCCGCGGCCCCAGCTCCCCAGCCCCTGACCCTGGTGGGACTCCTGCCTGCGGCCGGCCGACCTCCAACTTTCGACCTCCGACCCGGCTGGCTGAGGGGCTTGGGTCCTCCCTGGCCCGCGTGGGGCTTGGGCTCTGGCAGGTGCCCTTGCTCCGGCCGCTCTGGGCCTGCGCGCTGGGTGCCGGGACCAGCCGCTCCACCTCTCTGGGCCGCTGGGGGCTCCGGCCGGCCGGGGTTCCCCACACCACGCTCAGGGCCCCCTGGCGGGTCGGCCACACTTGCCACTGGACACACAGCCCCGCCGCCGCCCACCGCTAGCTCAGACATCTCGGCGGGGGCAACGCTGAGGTCTAGGCAGCGGTGGGAGCCGCTGTTCTGGGGGCAGCTGGGAGGGGCGGGAGGGGTCTATCCCCAGGGGCTCCCTCCCTGCCCCTCCCCAGGGCCCCTGAGCGCCTGGGAGACGCACTGCAGTGGGGCCAGCTGGGGTCTCCCAGGCCAGCCTCCCCTGGGACCTGGGGGCCCAGGGGGGTGAGTCCTGTGCTGCCCCCCAGGCAGGAGGGAGTAGCTGACCCCAGAACCCTGGTGATCAGCCTGGGCCCCCAGGCTGGCGGAGTCTTTGGTGATCGGTGGTGACTGGCCCTCCCTCTGCCTGGCATAGCGCCCCCACCTGCCTCTCCACAGCCCAGAGCCACCCTCCAAGGGGGAAACTGAGGCCCGCCCGGCCCCTCCTCCCACAGGGCGGCTGGCTGCCGAGTAGGGGCTGCACTGTGGCTGTCACAGGCACTGCAGGGCCTGAGCCTGCAGCCCTCGCTGCCTGCTGGGCCTCAGTTTCCCTCCCTGTGCGGAGGGCAGGCCTCTCCCCGAGGGCCTGGGAGCCCTTGTTCTCTGCACTTGTGCCAACAGCTCAGACTGCAAAGTGGGCCAAGGTGAACTCCACCCACCCCGGCAGCGGGCAGCGCTGGACGAGGGCCCTGCCCAGACATGGCCCTCCCCCGCCCGAGCAGGGGCCCCTGGGCTCCGGCTCCGGCTCCTGCCCGCTGAGCACAGCTGTCCCTGTCTGTCCCTGGCACCGCCTGAATGGACCTCTGGCCCAAGCCGTCTGGCAGGGAAGGGGCCTGATGCCCCCGGGGGGCCAGCGTCGGGCCGGGCCAGGCCAGGGTCAGGCCGGGAGGGTGGCCGTGGAGGTCCCGGGCAGCCCCAGCCGTCTTCTTGCCTCCATCCCCACTCTGCTTCCGGGGCTTCTGGACAACTCTGAAGCCCTTTGGCATAAAAGTCTGGACCCGCGGCCTCGGCAGGGCCTGGCACGTCGCCCTGGCACTGCCCTCGGGCCCTGCGCCACGTGCCGGGTTCCAGGCCGGTGGTGTTTCCCGCTCCCGCTGGTGTGCGGCCTCCGGGCCGGCCCCACACGGAGCAGCCCTGGGCCCCGGGCCCCCGCCCCCGAGACGGTTCTGGAGATGAGACGCGCGATTCTTGTGCGGAGGGAGGTCACGGCCAGCTCGGGGCCGTCAGTCCCTCGGAGCCCAGCACGGGCGGAGGGGCACGGGCAGGCCTGCGTGTCCGGTCAGAGCCGCCTCCACCCTCCCGGGGCGCCCGCCGGTGCCGTGGTGTCTGAGTGGGGGTGAGCCGGGGTCCCCGTGTGCCCCGCCGGCACCGGGATGGCAGGGGTCCCAGGAGGACTTGCGGGGAGGCCGGGGGGAGGGAGGCCCCTGCTGGGCCCCAGCAGGTGTGGACGCCAGGCGCGTCTGGCCGGGCAGGGCAGAGCGAGGGGCGGGGGAGCCCGGCCAGGGCGGCGGTCAGTGAGACAAGCCTGCACCCGGGGGACCGCTGCCCTCCAGGCCATGCCGGGGTGACGGGGCTCGGGGGGCTCTGGGCCAGGCCTGCCCCATCCTTGCAGGGTCCTTGCTGTCCTGGCGGCATGGGGCCCCCGTGGGTTGTGCTTCTAAGGGCACTGCGTGGGCCACACCCAGCGGAGCGAGCAGGGCGTGGGGCGGCCCTGGAGGCCTGCAGGGTGGGGGCAGCCGAGCCTGGCGCCCGCGCCTGGGCAGGGGCAGCCGTCCTCCCTCCAGCCGGCCCCAGGCAGCGAGGGGACTGCGGGGAGACGAGGCGGAGGGGCGAGAGCCCCAGCGGCTTCAGGGGAGGTCAGCGGGCCTGGGCCCGGGTGTTCAAGGGGAGGGAAGCCTCGGGCTGCGCACGCTCAGGGCTCCGCTCGGGAAGGTGAATTACTCTGGCTGGGACCCAAGGCGGGGCAATGTTGCAAAAGCTTTCAAATTCGGGAAAGTGTCAGGAACAGGGGCCTGGGCGCTGGTCCCCGGGGGCTCCCGCGAGGCGTGGCCGCAGTTGCTGGGGCTTGGGGCAGGAGCCCTCTGCTGGGGCATGTCCCCTTTGCGGGCCGGGGGAGGATGGTCCCTGGGGCCGCCGCCTGTTCTGCGACTGTACCCCGCTCAGCGGGAGCCCCGAGTCTTCCTGCTTCTGCCAACAGCTCGATTTTAATCACCCAAATCATTTATCTTGTGACTTCATTTCCAAACCTTCCAGAATTTAGGCCACTGGCTTCACAACACACAGAGCTCACCCTGTCCCATCCACTCGTGACAGGGGCTGTGCACCCTGACCCGCCCGCGGGGCATGGCCCCTGCGTGCACAACGGCCTCGGCGCCCTCTGCCCGCAGCCCTCACCCTCAGGAACCGGCGTCGTGACCCTAATGGAAGCGTGTCCTCAGAGCCCAGGCTGCTGAGCCTGCGAGCCAGGCCCTGCCCGAGCAGGATGCTGGCCGAGGCCGGCCTTCTCGTTCCCGAGAGCCTGGGGTGGCCGGTGTCTCTGTAAGAAGAGGATGCCAGGGAGGGGGGGGGCGGGCATCTGCAGCGGGTCGCAGGCAGCTGGACAGATGATGGAACAGGCCCCTGGGTCTTCGGGGAGTCCCTGCCGATGTCTGACCTCTGGGACCCAGAAAGACCCCCTGCAGTGAGCAGCCAGCCTGGTGCTTTGGGCTGCAGCCTTGGCCGCGGCCCCTGGTGCCCAGGCCACTGTCCAGTCACGGGCTCAGGGCTTCCAGGGCCATGAGGGTCATGCTTGTGCTTGTCTGTCACGCGGCAGCGCGTGCATAAGCCCAGGCATGGGAAAACGGCGCGGCCAAAAGCTGGGCACTGGGTACCTATGCACCACCCGCCGGAGGGCATGATGCCCGCGTGTCTGCCAAGCTCACCCATTGCCCACTCACCCACCGCCCCGCCCAGACCCCGCCCGGCTGATGCGCAGCCCCACGCCCCGCCGGCTGCCGCCCCTGTGCTCCATGTGGCCGCCCCGCCGTGCCTCCTCAGGCGCTGCTCCAGGCCCCCTAGGGGATGCGGCATGGACTCTGGTCGCCAGTGTCGTGGGGGCCGGAGCGGGCTCTGGGGGACAGGCGCCCGCGCGGGCCAGTGGGAGGGCCTGGCCGTCCCTGCCGTGGGCCACATCTGCGGGGCGATTGGCAGAGGCCCGCGCTCCTGAGCCCCAGTCGGCTGGAGCGGGCAGGCCAGGCTGACCGGCGCGCTGTTCATTCAGCCTCGCGCCACCGCAGGCTCTTGTCCCTCCCGGGCTCTTGTCCCTCCGCAGGCTCTTGTCCCTCCGCAGGCTCTTGTCCCTCCGTGGGCTCTTGTCCCTCCGCGGGCTCTTGTCCCTCCGTGGGCTCTTGTCCCTCCGCAGGCTCTTGTCCCTCCGCGGGCTCTCGTCCCACGAAGCCAGAAAAGGAATTCACAGACTTCTTAGATAAGTGCGCAGGGAGAAGCAGACTTTATTCGAGAAAGTAAGAAAAGGTTCCTTTCGAGGCGAGACAGCCAGAGCGAAGACTCCAGCGCGGGCGGAGGCGGGGCAGGGGCGCCGTGGTGGGCCCGGCTAGGGGACATTTAACCCCCTTTGTCCCTCTACCCTGAAATCTCATCACCCCCTCGCGGGACTGGCTCTCCGCCCGGGGCCACGGTCCTCCGGCAGACGGGCCGTGTCCCCGCTCTCATCTCAGAGTCCTCTTTGTACCTCCCCTGGCCAAGGTCTCCGAAAGTTCACTGTCCCACTGCCTCACATTTTAGCCCGAAAATTTACTGCCTTGAATCGACTGCCCCCTTGGCCTCCCGACTGTCTCTGCCCTCACCTCGGAGGCCTCCCTGAGCCCTCCCGGCCCCTGCGTGCTGCCCCTGAAGCTGCCTTTCTCCCTCACTTGCCCTGGGACTCCCGCGGCCCGTGTCGAGTGGCCTGGACGGGCAGGCGGGTCTGCCCGGCGGGGGCGCGGGGCCCCACAAGCGCAGCAGGAGCGAGCTACGTCGTCAGCGTCGCCGGCCTGAGTGCGCCCCAGCGGGGGGACGGGACAGGCCCCTTGTCCTCTGAAGGCGTCCAGGCCGCGTCCCGCGGTGTCTCCATGCCGGCCCCGTCATCGGGGTGTGAACCCACACATTTCTCAACGGCTGACACACGGGCCGTTCCTCCCGGGGCCCCCGCCCCGCCCCCACCTCCTTCCTGCCTGTCCCTCCGCCAACGGGCTCCACCTGCGGTCGCTCAGATCCCGAAACTAGGGGTGCGGGCCCCTCCCACGCAGCTCCACCGGAAAGCCTGCTGAGATACGGAGGGCGTGACTGTCCCCAGGGGCCCCGCATCACCCCTCCCCTGCAGGGCCGGCCACCCCATCAATCTGTGTCTGCAGGAAGGAAGTGGTGGGCTCTCGGCTCGGCCGGGAATCCGGACTCTCACGACCCTGCCCTGGCCTGTGCCTCTGACCAGCTGCGGCCACCCTACCCCTCCCCCAGCCTCAGTTTCTCCATCTGGAAATAGGGGGTGGGGGCTGGGCCAGAGGGGCTGTCCCTCGGGGCCCTGCCTATCCGGTCCTCCGGGCCTCAGGGACCTTCCCGTCCTCGGCCAGGATGGGTGTGGGGCCGCGGGGGCGGGGAGAGGCCAGGCCGCAGCCGCAGGGGAGGGTCTGCTCTTAGGGCCCTTCCGGGACTAAGCTCCAGCCCACAAAGCTGAGTCAGCGCACCCCCCCCCACCCCGAGAAAGCACCGTCCGGGAGGCCCCAGGAAGGCAGAGCCATGGCCCCACAGTGAGGTGTCCGCAGGGGCTGAGCCCTCAGGTGCCTGGGCTGCATCTCGGGGACCCCAGTAGCCTCTGCACCCCCCACCAGGTGAGGGTCAGTGTGAGGGGTGGAGGGTGCTGCCAGAGGCTTGGTGTGGTGCGAGAGATCTGCACTCCGAGGCGTGGCGGCTGCCAGGCCCACCCGGCCCAAGGCCGTCCACAGCTCTGCCTGCGGAGCCCGGGGCAGGCCGCAGGATCCCAGACGCGGTGTCCACGGTCTCCGAGTCCAGCCCAACCCATGACCGAAGCTGCTCTCCTTGCCTGCCGCCAGGGACGGGGCTCACGGCCGCCGAGCCCTCCTCCCACACGGCTGCTGCGTCTCACTCTGAGCCCTCCGGTCCTGCCCGAGGCTGTGGGCCCACACGGTGTAGGCGGCGTCCGTCGGAGGGTCCTGCAGAGGCCCGAAGGGGGTGGCCGGGCCGGCTGCAGCAACAGTCGTTGGGTTTTGAACCCCCTTCCTGGTTCCGTTGGCTCCGGGTGCCTCAGCTGCCCAGCACCTGCTCTGCTATGCTGCTCCCGCTCCGGGGACCCTGCTCCCGGGCCTCGGGGGCAGCAGGGAACCCAGGGGGTGCACGCCCCAGCCATTGCCCAGCTCTGCGCCTGCAGCCCAGCTCCCACCAGCCCCGAGTCTCCTGCAGACGATCAAGGGCAGCGCAGCAGAAACTGCAGCAAGTGCAGAGGCCTGGAGAGTGTCTCTGGCCTCGGGATGGCCTCCTGGACCGGAGCACGAGGGGGTGGGGTTGGGACCTGGCAGATTCGCCGCCATTTCTGGGAAGTGGCCCTGCCGTAGGCGGCTGTGGGGAGACGGCCTGGTGGGCCAGCAGCGAGAGGGCCGGAGAGCACATGGGCGACGCGGGGGTGGCCAGTGCTCGCTCGAGCAGGACTTGGGAACTCCAAATAGAACACACCAGGCCCTCAGCAGCGGGGCTGGGTCCACCAGGAGCGCCGTGCCCGGGCACGAGGGGGCGTGTCACAGAATGCTCCCACTGGGGTCCGCACTTATGCCAGCAGAGAGTGTCCACCGGGAGAGGCCCGTGGCTCTCTAACCAGCTTACAGTGTCCACACGTCCAGGAGACGGGTGGGAGGTGGGGCACAGCCACCACCTCTGGGGCTGAGTCTGAGCTGGGCGGGGGGCTCCCCTGGCCTCTGTCTCCCCAGGAGGGGTTGGGGGAGGGACTTCTCCAGAACCCTGGAAAGCAGAGTTCTCAGCCACAGAAACGCGGCCCAGACAAGTGCCATGTCGACCCGCATCCTCCCGCCCAGGGCAGGGGGAACAGCCTCCCTGCCTTGCTGATGCTCCGGCGCTGGCCAGGCAGCCCTCTCCCCAGAAGGGGCCCAGCGCCCAGGGGTGGAGGCTCCATCACCGGCACCCAAGCTCAGAGCAGGTTCGGGTCCAGGGCCTGGGAGGCCCCACTTGGTTTTCAGGCTCACCCTGGGCTGCCCGCTGCCGGGCAGGAGCCACCTGCTCTAGAAGCTTCCCCTTGACAGGCCTCCCCCTCTCCCCTCCCAGGCTGTGCAGAGCATTCCAGGGTTCCTTGGGTTTGGGAGGTTTCTACTTTAAAAATAGCTCCCATAGTAAAGGTGCCAGCTCACCTCCTCGCACGGTCACATTTCTTTCAGAGGCGCCAAGAACCAGATCAGCCACCCAGACCAGAAACGCAGGAACTAGGTCCCCTCCGTGGGGACACAGGTGAGTCGTCGCCCATAAATGTCCTCCCCGGCAGCCACGAGGCTCCCTGCTTTGTCATCCACACAGGTGCGACCGCTGCTTCATTGCCTCGTGAGGTCTTAGGCGGCTGCATTAATGGGCGTAGTGTGTCTGCAGCCAGGGAGGGGACAGTCCCGGCCAAGCATCCTGCTCTGGGCTGTTGACACACACCTGGGTGCCGTGTGTATCTCTAAGGAGCGTTTCAGAGGAGCCCAGCAAACTGGGGGGCGTGCCGTGGGGAGCGGTGGGTGGGAGGACAGAGGTGCCCCTCCTGGAAAAGTGTGGTGAGAAAGCACAACAGTTCTCTCCGGGTGTCCGAAGCGACCGCGCCGATGAAGATGAGCCTAGTTCAGGCTGACCCGGAAGTCAGGACGGGCTCAAGACACCAGGAGGCAGGCAGAATTCAGCTCCACGCCAAAGGGCCTCTGGGGGGCTGCCTGGGGCCTGGGCTCACCATGGGGTATGTGGTCACTGTGGAGGCTGGAAGGTTGGTCCTGACAAAGTCCAGTACCGGGTCAGCCCCGTGCCAAGGCTCAGAGACTGCCCAGGCTCTGCACGGGGGTGACCAGCGGGGACAAAGGCCGGGGTGCCCACCAAGTGAGACCCCCAGGGAGCCGGGCTCCCCAGCTCTTCCAGAGGTGGGGCTTCTGGGCAGCCTCTCTGGCCGGCACCCCGTGGGGTCCAGAGCAAGTTGTGCAGGAGCCGGCTCTGGTCTTGCCCGCTGCCCTCCCCGGGCACAGGGCACAGGGCCAGCTGACAGACGGACAGAGCCAGCAGGACAGGGTGGGGGGTGTCAGGGGGCGGCTGGAAATGGACGTTACTAAGTAAAAGTCACCCAGCGCCGCGAGTGACATCAGCTATTTACAATTCACAATTTAGTTCTCGGGTGGAGCAAAGAGACCACCTTTAAGGGCCAGGCCTGTGTGGGGGACGGGGTTCTGCTGTGGACGCCCCGTCCCAGGGAGCCCGGGCCTGGGCCCTCCCACACCCCACTCTGTGGCCCTGACCCTCGCCCTGGTGGGCTCTGCCTTCTCGCAGCCCCCGCCGTCCAGCCGTGTGCCTGTGCCGGGCAGCGCCGGGACCCCGCCAGAACCCCCCAGCAGCGCGAAGAGGACGAGAGGCAATGGGAGCAGCAGGTGCGCCCGGGGGACAGCCCCCTCAGGTTCCAGCGGGGCCTGTCCTGCTGCCGCACTCCCCTACAGGAGCCTCACTCACACCACAGAAGGCCCGGCCCCTGGACCCCGCCCTTCCACCCCCACTGGGGCCACCAGCCCCCACCTTGAGGGCCATCTGGCTAGAAGGTCAAACTGCCCACCGAGGGGGCCGGAACCCCTTCCTCAGCCCCCAAGGGCAGCCGCTGCCTCCGCCATGTGGAAGTCCACGCGCGCTCGGGCAGGTCACCCTCAGTCAGTGGGGGGTGCTGGGTGGGGTGACGGGCTGACCTTCTGATCTCCCCTTGCTGGTGCCTGAGCAGGTGGAGAGGGACCTGGAGCGGGAGCTGCGCCAGAGGCTGGACGAGCAGCGGAGGGGCCTGGAGGTCGAGCACGAAGCGGCTCTACAAGGTCAGGGGGCAGCGGGGTGGGGGAGGGTCCCCACCGCTGAGGGCCAGCCCCTCCCAGCCACGCGCCTCAGGGGTCCGCAGGGCCTGGCTCGTAGAAGTTAGCACCTGTGGGTCGAACCAAAGGCCCTGAGAGCGCCACGTGTCCCCTGCACCCCCACTTGCTTAGCTGAGTGCCCGGGTCTGGCCGTTGGCCACTGCGGGCCTCGCCACGGTCCAAGCAGCCGGTCTGCAAGGCCTGGGCTGCGCCTGGGACATCAGCACTGGAATGACCCTTGTAGGACGGGCTTGGACGTGTATTTGTGTGTTTGCCAAAATGCACCAGTGTGCCATTTACCATAAATGACATTTACCACGTTCCCAAAGCCGGCAGCCATCACGCCGTCCACTTCCAGAACCCTGGCGGCCCTGGGAGTGGGCCGGCCTGCCACGCTTCCCCCGGGTGCTCCCAGCGCCTTGCGGCCTTCCGCCGGCCGGCCTGCACAGGGGAGCTCGAGCCACAGCTGACCCCCCACCGGCTCCACCCGCCCCCGGGGTCCCTCAGCTCACCCTCTGCCCTGGCGTGGGCTGCCCACCCTGCACTGCAGGGACACACTGACCGCGTGCCTGCTCCTCCGTGGGTGGACGGGTGGCGCCCCTCTCTGGCTGCTGTGAGTACTGCCCCCAGGTAGAAGCGACTGCCTTGGAGCCCACAGAGGAAGCCCCAGGGTGGGGCGGCTGGGCCACTGGTCATTCCACACGTTGCTTTTTGAGGAAGCGCCAGACAGTTCCCCGGTGCTGCCCACGGCACCTCCCCAGCCCCGGCCCCGCTCCCACGTCCCCTGCAGTTGCTGTCTCTGCTGCAGCCGCCGCCTACTCAGGTGCGCACAAGCTGTTCCTCTGGAGGAGGTTTGAGGTTGACCTTGGAAGTGTCCTGCCAGCTTTCCCTTGAATGACCAGCTTTGTTTATCTTTTAAAGAGACACTTCATGGTCACTTTATACAGCTGGGCAGTCCTTTTAATTTAGCGCTGTGTGTGCGGAGCTGCTAACGCTCGCAAAGGCGACGCCACGGCCAGTTTCCCTGTTCCTGGGAGACAGACCCCCGCCTCCCGGCTAAACAACAGCGTCCGCATTGCCCTTTGCAGACAGACGCCAGTGCAGCAGCACTGGGTTTCCCAGAAGTGCAGTAACTAGAGCAGAGGTCTGAGCCGTTTTCAGATCCTTGAGACATGTTGCAACCTTAGCCAAACCGTTTTGAAATGGCCTCGAAGGCCGACCCACATCCCTGACCCACCCGGGCCAGCTTGACCCGCCCGGGCGCAGCCCCCACACTGAGTTTCCCCACATGGATTTGCCCCTTTTCGTCTTGTGCGTGGAGCGACAGGAAAGCTCCCTGTGGTGGAGCCTGGGGGACGGCTGGCCTGGTCAGAGCCCCCTGGTCAGGTTCTCAGGGAGATGTGACAGGTGTGTACAGAGTGAGCAGGCCCCACGTGGGGAGACACGTGGGCTTTGTTGGGGGGTGCTGGTTGGGGGGACCAGGAGGTGGTTTTCACAGCTGATGGGGCTTGTTTTCTCTTAGTTTTGTTTTTTTTTTTTTTTTAAGATTTATTTATGCATACAAGAACTAGCGCTCAGGCCAGAGGTGTGGGGGGGTGAGAGGATTCCCCAGAGACAGAGCGGGGAACAGAACAGGCAGACTGACTGAAATCCACTGCTGAGGGGAGCAGCGGGGAGACAGGAGGGGTCTGCTGCGCCATGTGGGTGGCTCCCTGGCTGGGGATGGAACCCGTGCTGCAGTGGCTGTGGACAGCTTCGTAGGTTGCGTCTTAACCCCTCGCGCCACCAGGAAGGCCCAGCTTTGGTTTTTTAAAAACCATCCTGCTCCACAGAACCCAACATGAATAAACCTGTCACAGCAGCCATCCCTCAGGCAGTCACCATCTGGCGGCCTCTACCCTGCCCGCCACTGCCCCTGGCCTTTGCCTTCTCCACGCTGTCCATCCACACTGGCCCTGCCGCTCCGCAGATGCCATCCGTGGGCCCAGCCCCGCCTGGTTCTAGCCCATGTAAGGCCTTAGAGGCAACCACAGAGCCTTCCTGCCCACTCTGGGTCGCAGGCGCCCAGAGGTGCTGAGTCCACTTGGGTCCTGGTCCCAGACCAGATGTGGGTTCAGCTGGGAAGTGTCCATCTGCCTCCCTCCCCGTTGGCAAGGCCTGGTCCCTCCATCCCGCCCACAAGTGCCCATGGGTGTCTTATTTGGGCAGCTCTGACCCGGGGGCAGGGGTGGTGCTGGCGGGTTAGTTTGTGCTAAGCGGCTAATCACACTGACCACCCCCTTGGCGTCGCCGCCTGACCTCCTCTGGCCACGTCTGTTGCAGCCTTCGGCCAGTGCTGACCGGCAGCTTCTTCCTACTGCCGAGTTTTGAGAGATTTTTATGTATTTTGAATTCGACCCCTTTACATTTGCAACTTTTTCCCGTAGTCTGTATATTTTCTTGCTCCTAACAAAGCAAAACTTTGCCTTCCACAAAGCAGAGCCTTTAATTTGGACAAATTCCAGTTTACTCTGCCGGTGGGGAGCTCACTGCTGGACCCCAGATAGCCAAGGTCCTCGTGGTTTCTGGCCAACGGGGTTTTTCTGCTTTAGCTTGCTAATGGGGCGCCGGGCGCCGTCCTGAGCCGCAGAGCGCTGACCCAGTGTCCACCCCGAGGGCAGCCTCTGCTGGCCGTCGCTCTCTGGTCCCGGCCGGGCGGCTTGTGGTCCTCCTGCAGACGCGGGCGTCCCGCCGGGGGCTGCGCTTCCTCGGCTTTAGAGCCGGGCCCGCGACCCCGTGGGGTGGAAGGGACTGTCTAACCGGGGCGGCGACGTTTCTCGATGCTCAGTGGCGTCTGCAGGGAGACGGCAGTTACCTTCAGCAGTGATGGGGCTGCTCGGGACAGGCCGCCTCGGTGAGTCCCGGCAGGCCGCAGTTTCCGGGGACCCGCACGTCCCGGCTAATGGCGGCGTTTCTGTGCCAGGACAGTTGTGCCTCCCTATGGCCTCGCGCTCGCTGCCCCTGGAGCCGCCCCCGGCCCTGGGGACTGGCCGGTCACCGTGTCAGTCCTCTCAGGAAACTATCTGGTTCCGCTGACTTTTCCCTGCTTTCCTACCGTCCGCTGCTGTTCCTCTCCTTCCTGCGGCCTCCTCCCGCGTCACTTCTACTTGCCCTGAAAGCAGACTGAGCCTTGAGATGGCCCGAGACCCTCCCGCCCCGCCCGGCCCCACGCCGACGCTGTGCTCCCACTGTCCTGAAAGCGTCCCCCAAGCCCCCCGGGCCTCCTCTTCGGCCAAGTGGGTGTCTAGAAGGGTGTTTCCTCCTAAGCGCCTGCAGTAGGCGCAGGTGGATTTTCCGGGTCTCTGCGGCCGACGTCGAGGCCCTGCCGTGGCCAGAGGGCGCGGCTCCCTCACCCGTCTCCTGGGAGCACGGCCCCCGCCTCTCACAGGAGGCCTTGACCCGGCACCCGCACGGCCTCGCTCCGCGTGGCTTCACCTGCTGCCTCGCTCCTCCTGGCTGCGTCTCCACCCTCGCTCTGGACGCCCAGCCGCGCGGGTGCCTGTGAGCCGCTGTAGATGGTGTTTGAAGCCCGACCTCGCCCTGGAGTCTGCTCCTTGGCGAGACTAGGCCGTTCGGCTGGCACCGTCTGAGCTGGTGAATTCAGGGCTGTCACCTCAGGGTTTGTTTTCTGTTTTTTTGTAACCCTGTTCTCCTGTTGCGCTTTCTCTGGCGTGTGGAACACCCGGTACCCCCAGGTCCCCCGTTGCTGTGTCTCGGCCGTGCTCATGGCACCTGTGCTGGGCCTCCTGGACGGCGCCGCTTCATGGCCCCGTGGGTCCTCCCCTGTGTCCGCCCGCTGGGCAGGCTCGCTGGGCCGTCATCCGAGTGTGAAGGGCGGAGGGTGGCGCACTGCAGGGGGCAGCCCCCACTCGCTGCCCTCCAGGCCTGGCCCCTGCCCAGGGGAGGCCTGAGACACCTCCTCGACTTCACTGCCCCCCTCCCTCTCCTCAGCGGCTTTAAATGCTCCGATTCCCTGAGGCCCGGCCTCACGGGTGCGCCTGTCACTGAACTGTCCGCAGTAACAAGCCGTCGCTCTGGCTCTGTCAGGTTCTCTCCTCCTTGCTGGTCTCCAGAAACGATGTCTCTGGCCGAGTTTCTTTGGGAATCAGTGAGCATCTGTAACGGGCAGGGCAGGCTGCACGGAGCTTCGGGGGCGGGACACCAGGAGCCCCTGTGCCAGGTGCTCCGGCCCTCGAGGGGCGGCCAGAGGGCCCTGGGCACAGTCGGGCTCACGCAGCTCCTTCTCCACAGCCCTGCAGGCCTCCCACACGCAGGAGACAGCAGCGCTCACACGCTCCTTCCAGGAGGCTGAGACGGCCCTGCAGGTGAGCAGGTGGGGTCTCCGGGAGGCTCAGGAGGCCGGAGCAGCCGTGGCCCGGGCAGGGCGAGGACGAGGCTTGTGGGGGAGGTGGGCGGGGGGCCCTGCTGGGGCTGTGATGTGTCCTAGAGGAAGGACATTGGGCCTTGGTGGACGTGCTCTGGGTGCCCTGCCGACCTGGCCTGGAGGCCGGACACTGGACTCTATTACAGTTTACGCATCGGGGGGGGGGGGGTGCCCTGCCCCGACGTACAGTCCATGCGCCCACATCCTTGGGAGGGTGGGGCCACAGACGCGCCCACCACGGCCCCTGGCCCTGCAGTCCCCCTGAGCCGTCCATCCCTGCCCCTTGCCAGGACACCATCGCTGGGCTGACCTCCCAGCTGGAGGCCTTCCAGGCCAAGGCCAAGAGGGTGGAGGAGTCCATTCGGAGCCGAGACTACAAGAAGCACTGCCAGGTGGGGCCTTCCTGGGAGGCCCCTGGGAGGTCAGGGGCACGGCACAAGGACCTGGGAGGAGGCAGTCGGGGAGGGGCAGCTGGGGCGGCAGCGCCCGGGGCCTGGGTCAGAGAGGACGGGGTGCGAGGCGACCTCTCCCTCCGGGGCCTGCCCGCCTGAGCCCTGAGCCCTCCTCCCGGAACAGAGGTGCTTTTGGGTGCTGGGCCCCGGGACCCTGACAGCTGCCGGGGAGCCTCAGGGCAGGCTCAGGGCCTGGCCCGCAGGAGGCCCAGCAGGCCGGGGGTGGCGGCCAGAGGGCCCAGCACTCACCTGTCTCCACCCACAGGACCACGGCAGCCTCAGCCCGTTCTGGGAGCAGGAGCTGGAGAGCCTGCACTTCGTCATCGAGATGCGGAGCCAGCGCATGCATGAGCTAGACCGGCGGCTGGCCCTCATGGAGACCGTGGTGCGTGCTGGCCGCCCCCTGTCCACCTGTTCCCCGCCTCCAGCACAGGCCGGCCGGGGGAGGGGTATTTGACTGAGGTGGGCCGGGGCGGAGTCCCCAGGGACCCGGGTGCCCTGGAGAAGCCCCACGCCCATCTCTGGCCCTGTCAAGTCTATTTCTATCCGGTGGCACCAAAGTCCCCCGAAGCCTGCCCCCCGGGGCGACTAAGTCCCAGAGCCCCAGCGGGCTCCTGGAGACCCGGCCTCCCGCCTGGACGCTCCTCTCCCCTGGGGGCTGGGGGGTCTCCTCGACACACGCGGAGGGCACAGCGCCTGCGCCTCGTCCTCTCAGGGCCCTCCTGCCTGGGGAAGAGGCCGGCCCTGGACGAGGGCGCAGCCGGGGCAAGTGTGACTGTCCAGTGCGCCGGTTTGTTCCAGAAAGAGAAGAACCTGATGCTGGAGGAGAAGGTCACAGCCCTGCAGCAGGAGAACGAGGTCCTGCGGGCGCGCAGCCTCAGCCAGGCCGCCTCCGCGCGGTAAGGCCCCGCCCTGCCCCGACCGCCAGCGTCCCGCGGGCCCAACTGCCCTCCCGCCCGCTGAGACCTTCGGGACGGGGCCCTGGGGCCGGGTGGAGGGTCCGGCGCCCAGGCTGTTCTGGGAGTCAGCAGGCCTAGGCTCAGCCCCACCCCAACCCCGACGCCGGCGGGGCGCAGGGGCCCCCAGGAAAGCCCAGTGGGGAGGGGCACTGGAGCGGACGAAGGAGTGAGGCTGTTCCAAGTGCTGGGGAGGGCAGTGGGCGTCACCGGCTGGACGCAGTGTCCCCCCAGTGACCGGGACGGGCACCGTAGCCGACGCTGGCGCTCACCGGCCGGGGGACTCTTGGGCTCCTCGGTCCAGAGGGAGCCGCCCTGGGTGCGCCCGGAGGCCCGAGCAGTCCCCGGGAGCGCAGGGCTGTCCCCACAGGCCTGGCCCGTCTGTCCCTCAGGCAGCTCTCCGAGGACCTGCTGGGTGCGCGCGAGGCCCTGGAGAAGGAGTGCCGGCTCCGGCAGCAGCTGCAGCAGGAGAAGGACGAGCTGTTGTTCCAGGTGCTGGGCGCCCAGGCCTCGCCCGCCTTCCCCCTGGCCCCCGTCACCCCCACCGAGGTCTCCCTGGCCACGTAGGCGGCGGCTCGTGGCCTGGGCGCCCCCTCCAGGCCTGTGGGGACACAGCAGGAGCCTCTGCCCGCCGACCGCCCGCGGCTGGAAGTGCCTTCGGCCGGTCCAGGAAGCCTGGGTGCTGACCGCCCTGGCGCTCTGTCCAGAGCGGGGCTCCTAGGGCACCCCAGGTGGCCTTGGGCTCTGACGAAGAGGAGACAGCTGTCCTGCTGGTGGGGACGGCCCTGCCGCCTGCCTGCCCGCCGCCCAGCCCTCACCCGCGCCCCCCTGCCGCCCTGGGCGCGCCCTCCTGTGTCCCCCTCCCCTGTGTCCTGGACTGTCCATCACGGAACCAGAGCCAGCCCCAAAGGGGGCATTTAGTCAAGGCTTCTGTGCCCACCCGCAGGAGGCCCCAGCAGGTCCCACCTCCTCAGAGGCAGAGCACCCCCATCCAGCCCGGCGGCACCCCCGCCAGCTGCTGCCTCGGGGGGGGGAACGTCCCCCCACCCAACGCAGGAGGCCCTCCCCCCCTGCTCCTCCCTTCTACCCCCCCTCAAGCCCGGCTGTGACTGTCTGGGCTGCGGCAGGCCGGGCGGGCAGGCGGGCAGCAAGGCACCATCTTCCACACACGCACCCGGGCCCCCTGCACGCTCACGGGCCGGCAGAGGACAGCCGGTCACCCGAAGGATTGGAGCAACTCTGGGCTCGCTCCAGTGGAACAGAGCTGCCCCCTGTGGCTTCTGGAAGCTTCCGCCTGGTGTCCGCAGCCCGCGGAGGAGCAGAGCCAGCACCTCTGGATGACTTGGACTGGGCTTGTGGCCGTGGCGGCTGCGCCTCGCAGGAAGTCAAGGGGCTGGGGGGCCGGGGGTGGGGCCCGCCTGTGCCCTGGGGCTCAGGGAGACACTGCAGCCCCTGGGCAGACAAGCTGCGAAACCAAAGACAGACATGATGGCCTGGTCTCTGTGTTCCTGGGGGTGGGCTGCGGCTGTCTCAGGGCGCTCGGGTGCCCTTGGGGGACAGGTCTGGGCCTGGGCGCTGGCCCCTGGGTACTGGCTGGTGGGGCCTGGGCAGCGGGTGGGGCGGGGCAGGGCAGGGCTGGGAGTAGGGCCCAGGGGCTGAAGCAAGGGGCCGGGCAGCGCCGGGCGGGGTGTGAGTCTTCCTGGCCCCGGGAACTCAGGCCCACATGTTCCCTGCCGCTCCAGCCCACTCCCCACCGTGTCTCAGTTGAGGAGCCAGGGTGGGCAGGGGAGACTTGGGGTTGCAGGTGGGGGGGTGCACGGCACCTGCCCTGTAGTTGGCGGCCTGGCAGGTGTGGATGCCCACCTCCTGCCCCGGCCGCCCCATGCGCTGCCCGCCTCCTGCTGCCCTCAGCCCTCCCTGCACCGCCCCGAGTCCACCCGCTGCTGTGGGGGCCACCCAGCTGCAGGGACAGGGCAGGGTCCATCCGCTGGCACCACGGTCCCTTCCCGGGAGGGACACCTGCCCAAGGCCACGCCTGTGTCGGGGAAGAAATGAAGCTTTGCACGTCTCTGGGGAAAGCCAGGGCCTCTGCCCAGACGGCTTGGGGAGACTCAGGGTGTGTGGGGATGCAGATGGCTGCCACCCCCTGCCCCCCGGAGGGAGAGCTGGGGCCCCACAGCTAACACTGTTGCGGAAGCTGGAGACAAGCCGAGTCTGGCTGGGCAGCCGGGAAACTGGGGCTCCGCTGCTGGCGCCTGGACCCTCCCGGTGGCTGACACCACGGGGGTGGTGTTTTCCTAAGCACGCTGCGGGGGCGGGGTGGGGGGCTGCCTCCCAAGGAGCAAGCTTGGGCAATGCTGGCCAGCACAGCCAGCGGGAGTCCCAGCCTCCTGCTGGCCATTCCCACCCCCGCTAAGCCTCAGCTTCCCTCTGGACGGTGGGATGAGCCTTCACCCTTCACCTCCAAAGGCCTTCGGGGCTGGGCTTCACCCGTCTCGGGAGCCCTCCCCCCTCAACCCTTGTGCCAAATCAGCTCTTCTGGGAAGCTCCTCTGGGAACTCCTAAGCCCAAGGGCCCGTGCCTGCTGGCCCAGCTGCTCACCAGATGTGGGGCTCCTGACCAGCACCACCTCCCCGCAGCCCTGGAAGGGCGGCCTGGCCTCGGCTCAGACTCCAGCTCAGGCTGTGGGGCTTGGTGTCCGCTCAGCTTCCGGCCCTGGCCTCGGGCGGGAGCACTCAGGGCCCCAGGGGAGGGCGGGATCATGCCTGAGCGCCCAGCAGCTCCTGGGTAAGCCCAGGAGGCAGATCCCACCTCAGCTGGCCCCAGGGTCTCAGCAGACAGTGTTCAGTCACTGCACAAAGGCCCCTTCCAGCCCCTCTTTACTGGACAAACTAACAAAGGACAAATCGTAGCTAATCACGAGCCACCCGGGATGCACTTGGGCTGACCAAGGAGGAGACTGAGGCCTGGGTGGGGCCGCCTGCCCAGGTGGTGGGGAAAATGGTCAGCTCCGGGATGGTCAGCAAGCCTCAGATTCACCGCTAGGCCGTGGTTCCGCTCTGGCCCTCAGGGCGTCCTAGGTGCCCTGCCTGTCAGTCACACCCGCACCCACACAGCCACCCCCTCTGACCCTGCCACCTTCTGCCCTGGGTGCTCCCCACTAAAGCCCAGGCGGTCTCTGGGCTGACACGGGCGTGCTCCCAGCTGTGCTCAGGATGCAGCTCGTAGGGTGGGCTGGGAGGAGGGTGGGCCTGCGGGGGGGTGGGGGGAGAAACAAGGGGTCCGGGTGCGTGGTCTCTAGGCCATGTGTGTGGCCGTTCTGACCCCGAGGCAGAGTGTCTGCTCGGATTCCCTGCCCGCCCACCAGCTGTAGGTCTTCCTCCTGCATCCTGGCCCTTTAGGGGATCCCCACCTGGCTCCATAGTACTGACAATGGCAAAGGAGACCAGCTGGGGGGCACCCACAGGCCCTGTGGCCCTCAGCAGCGCGTCTGAGGCCAGGCTCCTGGGTCTGGGACCTCCTGGGGATCTACTTTCTTGGGGAGCACCTCGCCCCGCAGCTGTGGGGCCCTGGCGGTGCCCCCGAGGCTGCTGCCGGGGCTGTCAGACGCACCTGCTTCTCCATCTAAACTCGATCCCCCCTGTTCGGTGGCTTCCACCGCAGGTGGAACAGCTTTAGAATTCATCAAGCCCTGGTCTGAAGCAGCTGCCCGAGGGGCTTCAAAAACAACCCTTTCCCGGCACCCCCACCGTTCCGGCCCCAGCCTGCCCCTCCCTGCTGAGAACGGAACCCTGCTGGAACGGGGGTTTATGGTGCCTCCGGGCCCCCAAACCTCCCTGAAAGTGGGCACTGCCTGCAGGTCTGGAGCCCCGGGGTCCACGCTCCATCCACACCAGGACACTGCCCTGAAATCTGTTTTAACAGCTGCCAGCAACACTGCCCAGGGGGTCACACCTCTGAATGGATGCCTAGGTGTGGGGTCAGCACCTCCAGGTGACCACAAGGGGGTGATGTGAGTGGGGAAGAGGCCACTGAGTCTGGGGGAGTCACCTGTCTCCTGCGCCAGCAGAGCTGGGCCCGGACTCGTGGCTCTCTGGAGAGCCGGCACGGAGTGCGCACGCGCGAGGATCATGGGGTTCACAGGTGCTTTCCCGCCTCCGCCAGCCTCTCCGGCCACCTGTCCTCCCAGGCTTTGGACCCACATGTGATGACACGTTACTGCAGAAAGCGCCTGGGAGCACAGGACAGGCCACAGGCACCCACAACTGCAGCAGGGAGGAAGCCCACCTGGCGCGCAGGGCGCACACCTGGGGTGCACACCTGGGTGGGAGGGAGGGAGGAGGAGAGGAGGGAGGACCCCCCTGCCCCAGCTCAGGCTGTCGTGGGCCGGCCACTTTCTGGGACAGGTCAGGGGTCTCCGGCCCCAGGGGAACGGCAGCGTCCCAGGCACTGGCCAAGAAGGCTGGACCGGCCTCCTCCCTGCGGCCAGGGAAGCCCTTGCAGAGGCGCTCGTGGTCCGCATGTGGCCGGGACCGGCTCCTCGACGGCGTCCCCTCTGTGCTGGCCCCCCGTGTCTGCCCGTCTCCGCTCACCAAGGAGCCACTCGGGTGGGGGGTGCAGTCGACCCCACAGCACCACCCCATTTCTGACCCCCCTGGGAGGCCCAGCCTGGTGCCTGTGTGTTCTGCGACTTGCTAGGAGGGTCTGCAGGCCAGGGAACTGCCCGCTTTACTGTTACGGGGGGCAGAGGTGAACAGCTGGGGCCAGCCACGCACAGGGCAAGATCTGGGCAGGGGTGCAGACACCCCTCCTCTCCCCTGGGCCCCCCAGAGAGAGCTCAGCCATCATCTCCAGCCCTCTCCCCTCTGGGCCACCACTGAATTCCGGATTGCTGAACTTAAATGACAGCGGAGTGGGGACCCCTTTGGTGTGGAGGGGGTGTGGGGCGGGCAGGCCTCTATCACCCTAGTGGGTTCTGGGGTTCACCCCTCCCCCTGGACAGGGCTATCAGTCAGGCACTGGGAGAGTGCAGAGGCTGGGCCTGGGGGTGTCGGGGGGAGCACAGAGCCTTGGAGATGGAAGCAGAGGGGCAGGGCCCAGGCCAGGCCGTGGGACTCGCCATGGGGGCTCGGGGGCGAGGCGCTGGCCTGAAGGGGAAGAGCTGGGTGGGAGTAACCTGGGCACGGGCGGGAGGGGCCAGATCTCACAGCTGCGTCCTGGCTGCTCTGGGGCCCAGACAAACTCCTTCCTCTGGGTCCGCCTGCCAAGGTGAACAGAGTCAGTCAGAGCCACCAGGAGAAGCCAGTGGTGGCCAGGGATCCGGCAGCCTTGGGGACCTGGTGACAGCAGGTGCGGGGCTGGGGCGGGAGGCTCAGGTGCCAGAGCTGCGCCAGCCCCGGAGCTGAGACCTTCTAACATTTTTAAGTGCTTGGAAAAAATTATTTGGTAACGCTCGAAAATGACACGAAATCAGAACTGCAGTGGCCTCCGGCAGGGGGGTGGCTTCTCGGTGCGCGCCAGCCGCGGGCTGACCCCGGGCCAGGAAGAAGGAACCTGCGGCCGGTGGTGGCCGCAGAGCCAGGCCGGCCCCTCGGCCCCTCCCGGCCCCTCGCAGGCGGCGCCTGCCCTGCCCCAAAGGACGGTCTTTCTCAGAGGCGGGTCGGGTCGCACTTCCCCGAGCGGCGCACATTCACCCCCCGAGCAAGAAGGGGAAGCTCGCGGGGACCCCTCCCGCCCGCGGCTGCGCCCACGGCTTGGGCAGGCGTCTTGTCCCCATTTCTGGAGCCTCCTTTAGGTTGACAGAAGACACGAGCGGGGCGCAGCGGGCCTCCGCGCCGCCCCCCCCCCCCCCCGCCCACCTGCCGGCCCCGCCCCGCCCCGCTTGCTCACCTGCCGTCCCTCTCCCCCACCCCGCGCGCTCACCTGCCGGCCGCCCCCCCCACCCCGCGCGCTCACCTGCCGGCCGCACCCCCCAGCACGCTCACCTGCCGCCCCCCCCTCCTGCGCGCTCACCTGCCGCCCCCCCCTCCTGCGCGCTCACCTGCCGCCCCCCCCCTCCTGCGCGCTCACCTGCCGGCCGCCGTGGCGTCCCGCAGCGTCTCGCGCGGCCTCGGGCGGCTCCCGGCCGGGCCCTGGCGGGCGTCGCGGCCCCGCAGCCCCGGCTCCTGGCGGCCGGCGCGGGCCTGGGCATCGGGTCCAGCGGCTCGGCCGGGGCGCCCGCGCGGCCCTGGAACTCGCCTGCGCGGGGGGGCGGCCTGTCCAGGCGCCGGGGCGTGCGCAGCTCGGCCCGAGCGCCCCCCCCCCCGGCCCCCCACCCCGCCGTCCACCCGCCGGGCTCGCGCCAGCTGCGGGCGCTCGGGGAGGGCGCCGTGGGGGCGGGCGGGGCTGGGGCCAGGCCAGGGAGGAGGGGC